GTCTCAGATAAATTTCAGAGGACAGAAGATTGCCTTTGACACTTAACTACAGCCAATTAAGATTTTTCTCTTACAAGGTTAACAACTGTTAAGATGAAAAAAATTCCTCTCAAACTCTGAGTATATTCATTTTGATGATGATCATCATCATCTAAACATCAGCAGCAGCAGCATGATCATCATCATCATCCAAACAGGTTGCAGCCGGGACTAGAGCTGTGCAGTCTATTCCAGACCTCCAGTTTGCAACCACTCTAGTGGATAAAATGCAAACAATGGAGTTAAACAAAAACAACAACAACAAAATGGTTTCACTAGCCAAGCACTTACATGAAAATACAAATATCTAACACACAAGAAAACCAAACCAAAAAGGCATGAAAATGCATAGCAGATTGTAAGGAGTCCTCACAACTGACTCTACTGCATTTCTTTGGAAGTCAGCACCACCACATTCCCAAGAGAAACTCTGCAGAAGTGCAGCCCAACATGAGCCCCGTGCACATCAGCAAATTCTACACTGCCAGCTGAGCTTGAGTTTGCAATGCCTGGAGATTCAAACACTGCAGCATGCTGCCAACACACAAGCAGCACACTAGAGGTTTACCACCAAGGACTGTGGACACAAACGAATCCCACCTCACCAAACCCTGCTTTCTCAAGAGAGTTGCTTTGTTCACAAGTTAAACCATGGCAGTTAGCAAAGCCCCACTAGGTTCCAGTAGTCTTCAGTGACAGCATTTTCTTAAGATAGCCACAGGTTTTATGACTTGTACCAAAATATGCATCTAAGGATCTTAGGGTGCTCCTAGAGAGACCCTGAACTCATATTCAAGCTAGAGTGTGAGAAAAGATAAGCAGAATGGCAGGAGGCCTATGGACCAGACACGACTTCCAAATAGCAATGTCTCAAGCATGGGGTGGGGGTAGGGGGGCAGGACAGGCCTCAGTCTGTTTAGCCTACTCAGCATCAGGGTAGAGACCCTCCTGCCATTTCCCAGCGATCCCACATTGAGCCTTGAAAACCGCCATCTGGTCAGTGTCCAGCCTTCTGGATGGCAGAACCAGGAGAGGCTCCACCAGGCTGGCCTTGGACTGCAGGGTGAGGGAAAGGTGTTGGTTCAGTGGTTCAGTGACTCACCAGCCAAAGATGTCAAACGGGGCCAGCGAGTGAGACCTGGCCTGGGATACAGAGTGAGGGCACAGGCCGGGCTCTCAGCCCTAGAGCATGCTCTTGCAGAGGTTCTGTGAGCACTGACAAGGCAAGCACCTGTTCAAAAGGCTGGCCGGAACTCGCCTGTCGAAACCAAGACAAGTACTTGTTGACCACCCACCACCAGCCAGCCCTGAGAGCATCCCACAGACCCACTGAACAAGCCACGCGGCTCTCTGCCCTCTTGAAGCACATGTCCCACTGGCAGACGCACTAGGACAACTGAGAGTGGCGGACGCAAACTAAGACGGTTTCTGATGGCAAAAGGACAAGGCCGAGGAGTGCTGACCACTTCCTGGGGATCTGACTCAAGGTGGGATGAAGCCTGAAGGGCTCACAAGAGGAGAAGACGGAACATAAGAACGTGCTGAATCAACAGCACACACAAGGAAAGCTACAGGGGAGTCACCTCCTGCTGGCCAACCCCACGGGGCATCAGTACTTCAGGGCTGGCGGCAGGCCTCTGGACGGGAGAAAGCAAGCGAGGTGTGGACAGACGGACAGGTGAGGTGAGCGCAGGAAAGAGGACCATCAACGTGAAATACACTTAGATGACAGCGGGCTGCCACCATAAGACAGGAGAAGATGACAGGGGCCCCTGCATGGCCGCCCACTATCTGGCCCTCCTCTGGCCCATTCTGTGAACTTCAGCCAGACCACAGTCCTCTTTGGGTGAGTGCGAAGCCTGAAGTCCAAATACGTAACGTGGTTGACAAGGCCCAGCAGGAGCTTGATGATGGGCATTTGTCAGTTAATGCCATAGCCTGGCCACTAGTCTGGGCAGCAAACTATTGAAGATGTGCAGCAAATAACCTCTTGACTCCTGCAGTATGCCTCAACTAAGCCACTAACTCAATTCAGCGGGTGCATGGTCTTCTCTTATTTAGCAAAAGTAAAATCCTAATAGGAAACCTTCTTTCCAGTTTGAAGCTGGGAGTGCTGTGAAGAATAAACTGATTTTAAAAGGGTCTCTGGCTTTATGTCTATTTTCTCAATCTTTCTGTAAACCTCAAACTATTCTTAAAAAAAAAAATTTCTATTTTAAAAAGAGTGGATTCCAGATGACTTGTGTGCCAAACACCACAACAACCAAACAAATCAATTCTAAATTATGTTAAATGTCTTCACCACTCCTCTCCATAATGATGTACGCTGCCACTCTTGCCCTGAGGCAAGAGTGCGTTGGGAACTGTCACTGGTAGGGTGACCAATATGTATCATTTGTCCAGAACTTTCCCAATTTCAGCAATGAAATTCCCAAGCTCTGGGAAACCCTTCAGTTCTGGGTCACCCAACAATCAGGAAAGTTAGGTGTCAGATAAAGCCCTAGTCCCTTTCTACCTTTAGCCTTGTTTCCTTACAACTACCACCTCCCATCTGTTCAGACCACACACCCCAAGGTCCTGCTTATGGTGCCCCTCCATCACCACATGCTGACTCCTGCCCATCCTCAGGGACTCTGCTCTAACGCTGCCTCCTCCAGAAAGCTTCCAAGAAGGAATCCCACAGAACCCTGGGCCTCCTTTGATCCCAACACTTGACACACTGTACAGTCACTGGCTCCTCAGCTGTCTCCCCACCAGCCTGCAGACTCTCTCAGGGAATGAGCTGTTCTGTACCCAAGATGTTTATTACCAGAGCCAAGTGAAGTACAGCAAGAGCAAGCACAGGGGTGGGCACTAGTTGTTTATGCACCTTTTCCCAAGTCACCTTGGGATCTTCTAAGCCCCACACCAATCACATATCACCAGGTTCTTGAGGCTGTAATAGGGATTACACAGATCAGGCTGATCCAGGGCAGACAGCTCTGGTTTCCAGCGACCTAAACAATGCACCTGGACAGTTCTCAGGATACTGCAAAGGAACCTGAGACCCTCTGAGCTCCCAGGCATGGTAGCTGGTCAGCAAAGATGCTTCACTGGCGATGGGACTCAGCTGAGTCAAGTTTCCCCAAACTAACAACCAGAAGTTTTATTCAGAAAGCCAGTGTAACAAGTGCAATCTCTAGAGTCAAACACGGCTTTCACACTCTTCAGCTGTTGTCACCTTGAGGCAAGTGACTTAAGCTCCTTGAACCTTAGTTTCCACTTCTATAAAATGGAAACAGTAAATTCCTATAACTCACAGACTTGTGAGGACCGAAGGAAATATCACATGGGAAGTCCTTAGCAAGCAACTGGCACAGAATAAAAAGCATTCAATAAATATTAAAGTAACTTAAAAGGGCTATAGTCAGGCAGAGTTAGGGGAGTCTTCAGTACCTGGGTGCTGGCAGGAGGCCCAACGGCCTGGATAAACACATTCCCCTTCTCAGCCACATCCACCCACTTGATAAATTCCTAAAATCCTTAAGCCACTCCCTTTCCTGGACAGCTGCCCTCCCATTAAAGACTCCTGATTGCCTACCAACCCCCATCCTTGTCCGGAACCTCTTTCCTCTCCTCGGCTTCTCTCCCCACCACCTCTAAAATCATCCTGTCCCCCACTCTTCAGGACCCACAAACATTCATTAAATGCCTGTTCCGTACTAGAAACGTCACAGCTGAAAATCATAACTCTCTCCCTTCCCCCGGATCAAATGGAAAGCCCCCATCTAATTCCCCTCTGGCCAATCCCTGCCACAGACCCCAACTTCCCTCTAGTTCCCTGCCATCACGGGACCCCATCCTTCTTACTTCCCTCAGGTGCTCCCTCTGGACACCGCCTGTTTCTTACTGCCAGCGGGTTGCCCACTCCTCTCCCGGGCAACCCTACCGGTCCTCCCTGAAGTCACTGCCTCTGATTTGCTCACTCTTCAGTCAGTACCCACTGAGCTCCTACTGTGTGTGTGTGGGGGGGGGGGGGCAGTGCTAACTGCTAGGTATACAACTGTGAACAAACCAAGCAGTCTCTGCCCTCCTGCAAGTTCCAGTTTAATAAAGAGACAGAAAAGAGGTTAAAAAAACAAATGGGATAATGGCAGATAGCAGGAATGCAAGGAATGACATCAGGTCAAAGGTCTAACAGGAAGAATTGTGGTAGGGAGAGCACTTTAGGTGGGGTGGTCTGGGAAGACCTTAGCGGGCTAAACACACAGCCACCGACAGTGGCCACCTGCTTCCTGACCATACTGGCTTCGTGGCTTTCCACGCATGACAGCACCGAATCCTTACACGATGTACACGGGGCCCATTTGCTGATGGGGGCCGGACGCTCAGAGATGTGAGATAATTCGTCCAAGGTGACACAGCCACTAAGTGGTGGGGTCAGAGGGGACGCAGGTCCGACCCGGGGCCAGCTCCGGATCTTTGCACTCCCGCTTCCCCCACAGCTCTGCGGCGGGCCGTCCCCGGACAGGTCTCCGCCAGGTGATACTTTGTTCTTTTAATGACGGGCACTTGTGCGTGTCCTGGGCTTTCTGTTCCTTCTCTCGCCCAACCAGCCCTCAAAACCATGCCAGGAAGCAAGGGCTGCCTCTCGACTCCTGGACGACTGCGGAAACTGAGGCCGAGCACGGCCACCCCCTCCAGGTCCAGGCCTGCGACCCCGGAGGGGTCCTGGTCCCCGTCCCCCGCCCCGAACCGAGCCCGCGTCCGCGAACCGGAACCTCCCCGGGCACTTGACGGGTGCGACTCCAGAGGCTCGAGACCGGCCCAAGGTCACGCGGCCAGGAGCGGCGGGGTCAGGGTTCGCACCCGGCGCCCGGACCGAGTCCTCGCTCTCCCCGCAGGACCCCGGCGCCGCCCGCCGCCCCGAGCCCCGGCCCGGAGCCGCCACGCGGCCTCGCCCCCGCCCCCCGCACACTCACTTGAGGTGGTCCAAGGAGTGGATGTTGCGGGAGGACTTGCCGTGGCCCCCGCCCACCCAGCTCCGCGAGCGGCCAAACATGTCGGCGGCCCCGGCCCGTCGCTCTCCTCACGGTCTCATGCTCGACCGGCCGAGCGGCCGAGTGCCCGCAGGGGCAGCACAAGTGGAAGAGGCAGCGGCGGAGGCGGTGGCGGCGGGACCGCCAACCACCTTCCTCCCCGGCCCACAGCCCCGCACTGACATTCAGCCGGAACCGGCCGTTCGACCGCCGCGCTTTACGGCCGCCGCCGCGAGGAACGCTGGGAATTGCAGTTCGCCCTCGAGGCCCCCGGCGACCGGACTCCGCGAACGGACTACAAGACCCGGCATACATCATGCGGCCTCCGCGAGAGGCGGAGCGAGAGGAAGAGAGGCTGCCGCACGGCCCGGGTGGGCGGAGCCCTGAGGAGGAGCCAGATGTAGGTGCGTGAAAAGTCCCTGCCTTGTTAACCAGTATAACTTTATGATAAGGAGAAGATTAGCTATTGCATGGTGCATACTATGGGCCCCCGTTCTAAGTGCTTTAGGTATGTTATTTAATTGTCGCTATTACTATACTCACTATACTACTATTTTCCCCATTTTATCATCCAGGAACCTTGAGTCACAGAGATTGACTTGCCCTAGGGCAAGCAGTAAATGTGTTGCATAATCTGCATTCAAGCTCAGGTTTCTATAATTTCCATGCTCCGATACACCAAAGCTGCACCAAATCCTTAACGGCTTTATTTGTTCTCAGAACCTTTTTCTTTTTCTACTTCAGGTTAAGAAGTATATGTTGAAAGCTATGCAAGCAACAATGTACCCAAACTGAACATCCTGTACTTTCAAAGGATATCTCGGGTCTTCACCCCAAATTCATGCAATCTCCCAAACTAACACATCAAAAACAAAAAGGAAACAACAACTTTCTACATAAGCCAAAATGTATCTAAATTTCTCAACTGAATTGAAAATGGGAGACTGGGTGGAAGCAAGATTTCCCTTTTCACTATCCACCTAGTCATCCATTTCTACCCTCATAGTTATTTAAGTCCTATAGCATTCCATTAACTGTGTTCTCCCCAATGCCAACAAGACTTTTGGTACACAGTAGGTGTTCAATAAATATTAGCAGTGTATGAATGGATGGTTTGTTTTGTCTCCTGGAACTGGAGGGATGGAGAACAGTGCAGGGCCAGTAGTTCGTCTGGAATTTTATGTAGAGGGAGTGAAAGAAAGTCATGGAGTAAAAAGAGCATGCTCTGGCCTCGAAACAAACACACCCAGGGCCAGCAGCTTCAGGGTCTCTCCATTTCTCTTGGCCTGGGCTTCCTCATCTGTAAAACGGGGCAACTTGTCTGAGTTCAATTAAGCAATATATGTAAAGCACCCAGCTCGGTGTGGCTTAGATTTAAAGGTTCATTGAACTGCTTTGGAAGATGCTTTAGACAAAATCAGTCTCAGGATGGCTATAATTGGTTGCCTCTGAGCAGGGAAATGGGTGGGAGACTCACTTTTCTGTGTACTCACTAGTCGTTTGTTTAGCGAGTGCATTACTATTGTTTTTAAACACAGTTTATAAAGTAGAAGGAAACAATAAGTACTGGCTGAAGGTTTGACCTCCTTGGGACTCTTTCACCCAGGTGTTCCTAAAATCCTAAAATGAAGATCCCGGCCTGGCCATGGGCAGATCTCCCTGCAGCAGAATTTGGAGAGGTGAGGGTGCACTGATTGAAAACAAACAAACAAACAACAACAACAAAAAAAAAAAACTAACAAACACACACACACACACAAAAAAAAAAAAACAAACCAAAAAACAAAAAAAAAACCTTGCATTGTGGGAATGTTCGAGATCTGTGGAAGTGATCCCCCCACCCCACCGTCGCCTCCTTTTAAACTGAGTCCCAAGGGGGCGAGGCACCACACCCAAGTCCAGCAAGGTGCAGAGAGAATCCGCGACTTATTCCAGCCTTTACAGTCTGGCGACACGTCCACGTTTGAACTGTGTTCAGCCCCGTCCCTGTGTTACTCCCCGGACCCGCAGAGCGAAGCTCCTTTGAAAGTGGAGCACAGTCGGGACGCAGGAAAGCCGCTCCGAGGCGAGCGCCCGGAGGGGCGGGGCGGAGAGGTGCCCGCCCCCCGGCGGCTCGGGCCAATGAGCGCGGCCGCTGAGCGGGCCAATGAGCGCGGTCAAGCGGCCGCGCGCCAATGAGCGCCGGGCCGCTCGGGGGGTGGTGCTCGGAGCGCGACCGGGGGAGCGACGCGGCGGCCGCAGCCATGGGCGCTGGGCCTGCGGGGGCGCCGAGGGGGCTCGAGGAACGGCTGCGGCGCGCGCGAGAGTCGGCAGCCGGGACTGGCCCTGGACGCTGAGCCGCGGTGGGGGTCGCGCTGGCGCTTCGAGGGCCTGTGAGCACGAACGCCGCGCACCGACGGAACCGGGCGGTCGCCGGCCACTTCGGGGGGCCCTGCCTCGCCGCCCCGCGGGTCCAGAGAGCCGTGTGGTCACTTCTGGAGGGTGCGGTGGCCCCGTCCGGCACGTTTCCGGGATCCAGGCGCGTCCGCTCCGGCCGCCGCACGTTCCCGGAGGCCACCTGGGGTCCAGCGCCGCCTCGGTCGAGCCCGGGGCGCCCCTGGATGGCTGAGCTGCCCCCTCGCCGGCCGCCCGGGCGCCGCAGCGGCTGAGTCGCGGGGATCGCCCGGCCGCCGCCGCCCTCGCCGCCCTCGCCGCCCCCTGCATGCCCGGCGCGCGGGTCGCAGCCCACCTGGACTCTCTGGGGCCCCTGGTGTCCTGCGTGCTGCCCTCTATGTTCTACGTGGGCCTGTTCTTCGTCAATGTGCTGATCCTGTACTACGCCTTCCTCATGGAGTACGTCGTCCTCAACGTGGGCCTCGTCTTCCTGCCCGAGGACTTGGACCAAGCGCTCGTGGACCTCGGCGTGCTCTCTGACCCCGGCTCCGGCCTCTACGACACCGACTCGGAGCTCGACGTCTTCGATGGATACTTGGAGTAGGGTGGACTACTCTTCCCCTCTCCCCTCCATGATCCGCAACCCTCGGCCGGGACCAGCCGCCCAGATCATGCCCTCGCTCCTGGTTGGGTGCGCTGTCTGGACCCGGATGGGACCCCAGGAAGAGCCCCTCCGAGGCTTGTAAGTGCCCTCGGGGTGAGGGTGGGTTGGGACAGGGAGGAGGCATTCCCAGGCTTCTGACTCCTCTGTCCACTTCCTTCAGATCTAGCTGGATGTTAGGAATGGCTGGACGTCTCTTGGGCCAGAAAGCTTCCCCCGGGGAAAAGGAGAGCTGCTGAAGAGGGAGGGGACCCAGAACCTAAGTTACATTTTGGGTAGCTATGGAAGTTACCCCCAGAGCCTGTGGAAAGAGCCTTTGGACCCCAGTCCATCTGAAGCAGAGCTATGGCTCCTCCCCCCAGCCTCTGCCTGTCTTGATGATGACCTTGGCATTTGGGGGATTCTCACTAGTCCTGGGAGGATAGACTAGGGGTAGAGACCAAGGCACTGACCACCTTCCCACTGTGGCCCCTTGAGGGACTGGGTGGGGATTAAGTGCAGGGTCCCCCAGGCCAAGGCTGTGAGAAGAAACCTTCAGCAAAGGACTCTGTACTTCCTTTTGGCCTTGGGTTTGCTGCTGTTTTGGAGTCAGGTTTCAGGGTGTCCCAGCTTGTCAGCTCTGCAGCTGAAATCTGCAGGGGCTGCCAGTTTTGCAGGCTGCCTTCACAGAGCAGGCAGGCTGGGGGTTGGTGCTGGAGCTGGCTTTGTCTGCAGTGTTCGCAGGTCCTCAAGGGACTCTTAAGGAACCACAGGATTGTTGCACTGAGGTGTTAAAAGTCCTGCCTCTGGGCTTAGCCAGGGAGCTTTGAGCCCAGCCCATGTTGCATGTTAGAGGTAGAGAAATGAAGGTACAGGGAGGACTAAGACCGACCAAAATCACCCAACAAGGCAGCTGGAGTAGGGGGAGGGAAGGAGAGAAAGACAGAACACACGTGTACTAGGAAGGCTGTCAGGGTCCGTGGGGAGGGGCTGCCTCATGGGGCAGACAGGAACTCGTTGACTGAGTCCTGGGGCTGAATGATGCTGGAGTTCTCCTGGGCACGGGTTCGAGTGGCAGTGAGCGGGGGTGCTGAGATGTTGGGCAGGGGCTTCTTTTAGAAAGCAGACACTGGTGCCACTCACCCCAAGCAGGCAGTCTTCTCCTCCCTGGGGCTGCCTGTCTTTGCCAACACGACCATAGTCAGGGTTTCTTATCACTTCCAGATGCCCAGCAGACTACCATGGGCTGGGTAACTTAACATATTTATTCCTCACAGTTCTTGTTAACGGCACTAAACCTGCTCCCAGGACTTCCCTCATGACTAACCCACCTCCCAAAGGCCCCATGTCCTAGTACCATCATATTGAGAACAGGGTCTCAACATAGGCACGTGGGAGAAAGCAAACATTGTTGTAGAGGGTGGGGCAGGACCTGCTGCAGCTGTGCCGGGAGCAGTGGGCTTACCTACGGGGTCCAGAGTGAGGTTTCTTTGAGGAAAACTTTAGTTGAGCTAATTGAGTTCCTAGCAAGAGCCAAGTGCCAGATGGGGTGTGTGCCAGCTGCTCTGCATTTCCCCAGCCTGCCTGCCTGCCTTCCATCCGTTTTTTTATTGAACAAATGCTTACTTGTTCAGTACTGTGCCTGGGGAGTGAATGCAGTGAGCAAGACAGACTCAGCCCTGGCACGCCTGGCATTTGGTGAGGAAGACTAGCAAATATCCAGACAAGATAATGACAGTTTTTGCAGAGCTCTGCGGACATGCAAGAAGGTTGTGAGCTTCCCTGTTGTGTTCCCTGCTGTGTCTTTAGCACTTGCACCAGAGCCTGGCATCTGGTAGACCCTCTGTGTAGACTGGTGAGGCTTAAGACTAGGGCCAGGCTGCTTTAGCTAGGGAGTCAGAGAAGTCCTCTCTGAAGAGATGATACATTTAAGCCGAGCCGGAAATCAATAGAAGGAGCCAGACACAAAGATCCAGAAAGAGCAATCTAGACAGAGGGAACTGCAAAAACTAGGACACTGAGATGGGAAGAGTTGGTTTACCCAGCAACTGAAAGACCAGCACAG